GAGATCAGATGGGTAGCTACCAAGCTTGTGCGTTTCTCTGACTTTATGACTTCAGGAAAATGTCAGTTCAGCGCCTGCTAGGGCAATCTCTTGTTCCAGCTTGTGAATTTGAACCTTGTACTTTTGCATTGGCATTGCAGTTACTTAAGCCACCATCTCAGTGGTCATACTCAACTTGACAGCACCTAACAACAACATATTAGGATAAAAGGTTTTGAAGTTCAAGGTAGGAGTTTTATCCTGTTTTAGCAAACGAATGTAAAACTAAAAGTCATACATTGTTGTAATTGATTAATTTTAAGTAGTTGGTTGAATCAAAGATAAAATATACAAGTAGCTTATAACCACTTTTGACCTACTTAAGCCTCTTTGGTACAGAACAATGAATGAGCATCTGAGGAAGAGAGAATTTTGAGTGGGTTTTTTTTTTTTTAATGAACTGTAGCATTCACCCTGAACTTTAACAACTGAAGAGAAAAACCTAAGAAGTGAAGAGCCATTTCATGTGATCCTCTTTTGAGCTTAAAACATCTCGAAAAAATAAACACATTTAAATTAGGTACATTTAAAAAATGTGTTATAACAGAACACTTCCTAAAATAAGATTATGCACAGAAATGGTAAAATTGGAGCTTGAACCTTCTAGGTCATTTGCTTTTCATTCAACTTAATGTTACATAACGGTCTTACCTCCTGATTGTCCAGTGTCTCATAAGGTTATATCGAGGGCTGTCCCCTCAGTGCTGACTCATAGCACCCTTGTTTACAATAGAATGAAGTCCTGCCCTTTCCGGTGCCTTCCTCACGGTCCTTGCCATGTTTGGAGTCACTCCCTTGGTTGGAGTCACTGTGTCAATCCATCTCATTGAAAATCTTCCTGAATTCAGAGACTCTTTGCTTTCCCAAGGTTGATAACTTTCTCCAGAGATTGGACCCTTGTGATAACATGTCCACAGATGATGAAACAGAGTTGCATCATCCTTCCCTCTAAGGAACATTTTTGCTGTTCTTCTAAGAAAAAAGAAAAAACTGTTACTCTGGCAGTACTAGGTAGTTCAGTGTTCTTTGCCAACACTGTAAGTGAAAGACATCAATTCTTCCTTGGTCTTCCTTATTCATTGTCCAACTTTCACCTGTATAGGAAGTAGTTGAAAACATCATGATGGGTTGAGTTAGTCCTCAAAATACCATCTTTGCTATTAGCCATTTTGAAAGAGGTACTGTGCAGCAGAGTTGCTCACAACAGCCCACCATTTGGTTTCTTGATTGCTTTTTATGGGTGTTGATTGCAGATCCACGTAAAATCAAATCCTTTTCAACTTCCCTCTTTTCTCCCTTTATCATAATGTGGCTTATTGTTCCAATTCTGAGCAGGTTTGTTTTCTTTAGCAGTTTTTTTGCCCTATAATCCATACTGAAGGCTGTAGCCTTTAATCCTTCACCAATGTGTGTTTCATAACTCCTTTATTTTCTACAAGTAAGGTTGTGTCATCCACATGTTACAGGTTTGATGAGTTTTCCTCCAGTCTTGATGCTTCACTCCTCTTCATCCTTCCAGCTTCTTGGATTATTTCCTCAGCATGCAGAGTGAGCAGGTGTGATGAAGAGATCTAATCCTGATACCTACCTTTTCAGATTTTAGACCACGTAGAATATCTTCTTGCTCTGTCTGAATCTTCTTTTTGGTTAATGTATAGGTTCTATATGAACACAATTAAGGGTTCTGGAATTCCCATTCTTTGCCAAGTTATCCATAATATATTATGGACTCATGTAGCCTTTCCATGTTGTTGTTGTTGTTATGTGCCGTCAAGTCGCTTGCCACTCAAAGCGACCTTATGTACAACAGCCCTAAACTCTGCTCTGTCCTGTGCCAATCGCACTGTCTCTGGCACTCCCATCCTGATTACCCCAGTCACTGAATCAATCCACCTCATAAAGGGTCTTCCCCTTCTGCACTGTCCCTCCACCTTCCCAAGCATGATGTCCCTCTCCAAGGACCAGTCTCTCCTCACAACATGTCCAAAGTATGTTAGACGGAGCCTCAGAATCCTTGCCTCCAAGGAGCCACCCGGTTTAACCCTTTCCAGGATAAATCTGTTTGTTTTCCTAACAGTCCATGGTATTCTCAATACTCTTCTCCAGCACCACAGCTCAAAGGCATCAATTCTCCTTCTGTCCTTCTTGGTCATTGCTCAACTCTCTCATAACAAGTGATTGCGAAGACCATGATCTGTATCAGACGCACCTTAGTCCCCAGAGAGACACCATTGCTCTTCAGTACTTTGGAGAGGTCCTAACAGCAGACTTTCCCATGGCAATGCACCTTTTAATTTCCTGGCTACTGGTGCCAAGAGTGTTGACTGTGGAGCCAGCAAACTAAAGCTGTGAACAATCTCAGTCTCTTCACCATCCATCCTGATGCTGCCAATTGGTCCAGTGGTCGTGACAGCTTTCTGGTTTTCTCTGCTTCCATTGATGATCCATTTGACTTTCGCAATGAAAATCCCTGTTCCTCTTCTGAATCCAGCTTGAATTTCTGGCATCTCACTGTTGATGTAGTGTGTTTTTGTTTTTTTATTCAAGTAAATTTTATTCACATGCAATATTAATCCTGTTTATATAACTTCAGCGCTGTCTTGGATAATGTTTTTATTTTTTGAATGAGTGCAAATATGAATCTCTTCCAGTCCATTGACCAAGTAGCTATCCTCCATCTTCCAGTACTTTTTATTCTTTGATGTTTAGTGTTCCTTGTGTCTAATCTGTTCTTGAGAAGGTCTCTAAATCCAGGTGGGATACACTCTGTTGTGTTTTGATTCTTGTGACCTTCCCTTCCCCCAGCCCTGTTTCAGTTTTCAACTTTAATTTATATAGGAGTTCTTGATGGCCTGTTCTTCAGAGTATTCTTCTGACTAAAGATATTGCTGGTTTCCACCATGACTCTCCACAGATACATTGTATTTTTCCCCCCATGTGTATTCTGTTCAGTGACATCCAGGTGTTTAAGACATCAAAGAATAAATTGTTGACCTTGCAAAATTCTTTTATGAGATTGCCAGCATTGTTTCTGTCACCAACACTGTTTTTTAACTACAATAGTGATCAAAGAGATCTAAAATTGTGTGTTTGTATATGAATGCTGTTTGGAGATCTCATTCAATTTAGTCATTCCTTTTTTAAAGTCATTTATGATGGTTTTACTGGGGTGTTCTTTACAGGATTTTGTGGGCTAGTTCATAGGAAGTTGTGCCGCTGGCCCCAAGGCAACACTTCTCTGGTAGTTTGAATTCACCAGCAGCTCTGAGGGAGACAGATGAGCCATCTCCTCCCAAGCAGTTTACAGCCTCGGAACCCCACTGGAGGCTCAGTTGTGAATTGATTGTGACTCAGCTGCAGTGTGTGAGTGCATGGCTTCCTTACTAGTACTTCTGGGGAAACAGAATGCTGTATTGGCTTAGAGTTTGGCCCTAGGATTAAACTGCCTGGATTTGATTCTTGGTTCTTTATTTTATAGGTTCTGAGATCTTAGATAACACATTTTCCTCTCAGGATCCTGGAATTAAACTTAGCCCTGTAGTCCAGCTTTCAGCCAAACAGTAGACAGGCCTGTAAGGTGAATAATAGCAACAAGAAGGTACTCTTCTTAGGACAATGATCCTTACAGTATCAAAATACCATGTGCCCAAGAATAAAGCTCAGAACGCAGAAGAGGATTGGTTAGAAGGGTGAATGGTAACAAGATTAGTCAAGATGAAGTGCTAAATGCACTATTTCAATATGAAGACTATTGAGGTCATGTAACAAAATATGTACAATTGGTTGAATAGAAGAACAGCTTGCTCTGTAGGCTTTGATTCAAAGCATGATAAAAATTCTTTTAAAAATGAGCTCAGAAAATAGCATCTTCTTCTCAAGGTCCTCATTTGTGAAATGAATGTATTAAATTGTCTTAAGACACCCTGGAACAGATTAACTAGCAAGTCTCACAATACCCTGGTTTGCATTAAACATGGTTTACTCAAGGTGTTATTGTGTCTATTTGTGACTAGACACTGAACAGTTTCATGTGGGCTTCACTATATCTTTGATGTGATGACTGAGGGGAGAGGTGAACTTGTCCGCAGCAGGTTTGTGGGAAGACACATTTGGGCCTTTCTTTATCTATTTGCTTATCAAGTAATTAAGACCTGCCAGGGTGATATAAAGGAACAAGTAGACTTTCTTACCTATTGTTACAGATATGAAGCAAAAGGGGAAGAGAGAATTTTTAAGCATTTTAACTTTTATTTGCATTTTTGTTAAATAACAAAACTAGAACAGCACATCATAAACAATTGATGTTCCTCTGATTCTAGAATTTGAAGATGTGAGTTTGTTTTCCTTAGATGAATGTTTTGTGTATTTTAAAATACTAATACTTATTAATTATGAGGAGCTTTTCAGTATCAGAAAAGTACTATGCTGGCACTCAAATTTTCATGGCATTAGCCTTTAGATATTTATAAATTCTTGTGATACTCTGTTATTCTAGTATTTTCAACTATATATGTATACTTTGGCTAAAATTTACCGTATAATTCTTTTATTAGGAAGTGGCTGTTTTTGTCTTTGATAAAAAATTGATTGACAAATATCAAAAATTTGAAAAAGATCAAATCATTGATTGTCTAAAACGAGGAGTCCAACAGTTAACTCGGCTACGACACCCTCGACTTCTTACTGTTCAACATCCTTTAGAAGAATCCAGGTAAACTTTGGGAAAAACCTTGTATAAGGGATTTTTTAAACACAATTAACTTAATATTTGAATTCTGTTTGCACAATGTATTGTCAATGAAAATGTCCTTTAGTTTGTTAGTTAACATGTAACTTAGTTTATGTAGTAAGTTCTTATAGAAAATTAATTTCTTTACGGTTTATTTGTATTGTCTATATTTTTTGCCTCTTACTGGGATATTAATAGAGGATTTTCTTTACATTTGCCGTGAGCATATATCATGCTTAACACTGTGAGAGTCCTATGAAAGACACCTCTCTTAATTTAGAAGGGCTTAATCAGAGGTTTGGAAATTTTGTGGTTGGTGGGATTCTAAAGAGAAAGGATTTAGTAGGTCAAAAATAGGGCACACAGAGCTGGCTCTAGGCTTCCTATCTCCTTTCAGCCAGGGTAGGTTGACTTTTATCTGTTTAATATATTGAATTTTTTCTGAAGTTCTTACTTTGTAATCATTAGTGTTCCAGCCTCACTCTACCATCCCCTAGTGCACAAGATCTTTTTCTCAGTCCTGAAAAAAAAGAAAAGAAAAAAAAAAAACCCAAAAAACAAAAACCACAAAAAACTTAACCTTGTGAAAGACTGTGCCAACAGTTTATGCTTACTGAGTTCATTGAAGTCTCAATTACACAGAACCAAGGCTCAGAGATGTTACTTATTTAAGCTATATGGTTATAAGTAACATAAATGGGCTTTAATCCTAATCGCCGTGATTCCTGGAGTCATATATTTTTTTCACTTACCATCCTTTGCTAACCGAAAAATATGTTTATAACCTTGACCATGAAAATGTTTTTAATACCTTTCTTTACATGGGTAAACTTAGAAGAGCACTATATTAATTATTTTGCAATACACACTTTAGTGAACCTTCTATTCCAGAGTGGACTAAATTTTGTTTGTCTCACATGTCGTGAGCTTTCCTGATTTTGAATTTAGCCATTTCCTCTGAAGTACTCTATCTGTCTGAATTCTACCCATTCTTGTTATTTTGACTTCTGTCTACATGCCTTATGTCTCATCATTACCTTTTCAATTTCTTTTTTTTTTTTAATTTTATTATTTTTGTGTGAGTGTACCGTCAAATCAGATCTGACTGGTACAGGAGGAGATTGTCCCTCCTTCCCCGGCAGAGCATCTGGTGGATTCGAACCGTGTGCCTCTGGGATTGTAGTTGCAGCTCCTTACCACTAGGCCACTAGAGCTCCCCACCTTTTCAATTTCTTAAGGGAACAATGTGTTATTCTTGTCTCTGTCCTTGTAACTTTTTAATAGTGATTTTTAAAAAAATTCCAGAAGTAGAGATTTACTGGCAGTTATAAAAAGACAATTTTAAAAATAAGACATCCTCATTGCTAAGTTATAAATATTCTAATAACATTAATAGAAATCAGGATCATTTAGGGATACTTTAGAGAAAGAAAAAGGTGACTTCCAGCTTTTAGTGAATTGATAGTTTTGAGATGTTAGAATTATCCAAAAGGATTTTAGTATAAGCAGAGTAATCCAGATGAAAATTAAGAATTGGTAATGTGCCAGTGAATGCTTCCAGACAGTCAGTGAAGAGCTGCTACCACTTCTACTCAAACTATTTCAGCATGTAGACAAAAGATGGAATACTCTCAGATTCGTTTTAAGAAGTATGGATAACACAGGTACCAAAATCAGGCAAAAACACCAGAAAGGAAAATGATAGACCAGTATCACTCATGAGCATGGATGCAGAAATTCTCCACACAATCTGAGCCAATAGAATTGAACATCATATAAAAAAAAAAATTATTCATTGTTGTCGAGTGGGGTTCATGCCACCGACAGCAGATTTCCCAGTGCAACTTGTCTTTTGATTTCCTGACTTGTTTAGTCCCAAGAGTGTTGATTGGAAAACCGAGTAACATGAAATTGTTGATAGTCTTAATCTTTTCTCCATCTTTCATGATTCTTCCAATTGGCCCAGTCCTTGACCTCAGCAAAAACTTCAAGTCCTTCTCAGTTTTGGTGAGCAAGGCACAACAAAGGTTGTTGATGAGTCTTCTTCCAATCCTGATACCACATTCTTCTTTATACAGTCCAGCCTCCCAAATTGTGTGTTTAGCATATAGATTGAAAAGATATGGAGAAAGGATACCTCCCTGACACACTCCTTTGAACCATGCAGTTTTCCCTTGCTATGTTTATACAACAGCTTTCTGGTCTAGGTTTAGGTTTTGCATGAACATAATCTAGTGTTCTGAGAGTCCCGTTCATCTCAATGTTAATCACAATTTGTTGTGATCCACACTACCAAATGCTTTGGCATCATCATAGTAATACTGTGAACAGTAGGAATCCTGTACTACCTTATGCCATACTCGTAATTTCTGATATACTTGAACCCATTGCGGCAGTCACTGTGTTAATCCATCTGGTTGATGGTGTTCCTCTATTTCACTGACCCTCCACCTTTCCAAGCATGATGTCCCCTTTCAAAGAATAACTTTCTGGCAACATGCTCAAAGTATGTGAGATGAGGCTCCAAGGAACACTGTGGTTGCACTTTTCCTCAAGATACATCTGTTTGCTGTTTTGGCAGTCTATAGGATATTCAGTACTCCAACACCACAGCTCAGCGTCACTAACTCTTCTACTGGCATCCTTATTCATTGTTTAGCTCTCAGATACATAGTAAGTGATTGAAAAGATCATGGCCTGAGCAAAGCACACCTTAGTCCTCAAACTGACACCATTGCTCCTCAGTAATTTGGAGAGGTCCCTGACTGCAGACTTTTCCAATGCAATATGTCTCCTGATCTCCAGGGATGTTTATTATGGATCCAAGTAGGGAGCTCTGGTGGTCTAGTGGCAAGAAGCTGTGCTATAATAATCCTGAAGGCATGCAGTTTGGGGCCCACCAGCTGCTCTGTGGGAGAAGGATGAGCAGTCTCCTCTCCCATGCACTTAACTGCTTTTGAAAACCCACTGGAGTGACGGTCAGCTATGGCTCGGTTCTGGCTCTGTAGTACATAACAAGACGATGATGAAATAATTTACAATTTCAGTATTTTCCCCTTTGTCATGATACCAGTCTAGTCGTGAGAATTTTTTTTCCTTGATGTTGATATAGAATCCACACTGAAAACTGTAATTTTTGATTACCTGCAGCAAGTGCTTCAAGTCCTCCTCCCGTTCAGCAAGTGAGGTTTGCATCTGCGTAGCACAGGTTATTGATGAGTCTTCCTCTGGATTCTGATTCCACATTCTTCTTTATAGAGTCGAGCTTCTCAACTGATTTGCTCAGCATACAAATATAAAAACCAATGGAGTAAAATTGAGAACCCAGAAACAAATCTGTTTTTGGACAGCTAATGATTGGCAATTTGGAGACTATTTTAGCAATCAATGATATGCTGAGAGGAAGTTTAGATCCAGTGGAATCATAAATGTTACATGAACATTTTTATGTAGAAAGTGGGTAATAGATAAGCTGTGGATAAAAAGATAATGTGAAATAAGGAGTTAAATTAAGTAGACTGTGAAGGAATGCCTTTGAAATGTGGGGGAGCAGCAAATTTAAATAAACTGCATGACTACCCAGTGAATCTATAAAGGATTTTTACCCCAATTATTTTCTCTGACATAAGAAACCTGTGGTGGCCATAACATGGCTGCAGGTTTATTCATTAAAGCAGAGTGAAGCATAGTCCATTCCTGAGGTATCTGGAGGGGAGAAAGGAATCGGGTATAATCAGGACATAATAGAGTTGAATTTGTTGGAAAAGTAATGTTGGGAAATTAAGTTTTATGGAGTTAGTGAAAAGGTGGAAATAAATCTAATAGCTCTATTTAGGGAGGTGATCCTTGAGAGGGTCAAGCCCTGCTGGTGTGTGATTATTTATGTTGTTGTTGTTGTTGTTATGTGCCGTCAAGTCGCTTGCGACTCATAGCGACTGTCTCTGACACTCCCATCCCAGTTATCCCAGTCACTGAATCAATCCACCTCATAGAGGGCTTTCCTCTCCTGCGCCGTCCCTCCACCCTCCCAAGCATGATGTCCCTCTCTAAGGACCGGTCTCTCCTCACAACATGTCCAAAGTAT